TATTATTCAGACTGCGTGTAGCAATATGAATAATGAAGTATGAAGCAGTAAATTCAGATATTATAAGTGAACAGGGTAAAAATGTTGAAATATAATTAGTTTACTTGTAATTTGATAAGTCACATATAGAATATAGACTAACAGATTGTGATTTAAAGTTTTCTTGTGAAATCATCAGGTACGGATTCGTACACATAGTGTCAAACTACACCTTAATTGTAAGGGCCAGTAATACTGCCCAGTTTGTTCAAATCAGATTAGGTGAGGTAGTGTTTAACCTCGCGATTCAGTGGCTGAAAGTCGAATACACTAACCACTACTGAGTCCCCGCACCGTTAATAGAAAAACTAATAAAGAAGAGTGGATACATCCGGCATAAAACTCACTTTAAACTTAATCCACAACAATAGCTTCATACACTGTATCTATTACTCTTGACATATCCTACAACCTGACAGTTACAAGAATACGATGAAGGTATCCGACAGGCTTAGTACAAATTGTAATTAACAAAACTTTGAATGATACTAATTTTTGGCCTTCATTACACTCTAACGGTTCATCAAATGAAGGAATTTAAGTATATTTTACAAACTCCTTACTTTTTTTATTAATATATTGCGAGAAACTCGAAAATAATAAAAATACTACTACTACTATAACTGATAATATCACTAATAATAATAATAATAACAATAATGGTAATAATATCTTACAACTTTTTCTCACTTTTAATAAACTTGTTGGAACTGGTTTACTTCCCACTTGTGTTAAATGTAAAAAATATACATGCTTAGGCCAAATCATTAAATATAAATAGAAAATTCCTCACTCAACATTTAGGATAAGATCTGGGGGTCAGTAGTCAAACTGTAACCCAATGGTTTATAAGTTAGATTAGCTACTATTATGAATCTAAGAACAGTGAGAATCATGAACACAACTGACTTGAACAATCTAATGTCAAATAATTAATGGATTAAAACGCTACTTCTTCTCTACCTACTGAATTATGGGAGATCAAAAAAGTATTACCAATCCTCAGATGGTAAATAAAACTCATAGGTAATGGTAATACACATTTATTAACAATCGTACAATAACAAAAATCTGAACACATTAATTAATCTAAAAACTAGATTAATTTCACCTAATATATGGATACTAATAAGAGTATGGGTAAGATCAAGTTTGAGAAAATAAAGAGCTTTGATATAAATAAATAATATATTTGTAACATCCCAATGAGTAGAAAAATTAGATCTGACGTTTCGTGACTTAGTGTAAGCCAATTCTTCAGAGGATAAATAACCAAATCAAAATTAATCCGAGTTTAAATTGTACAATCTATTTTTTCTACTCATTGGGATATTACAAATATATTATTTATTTATAACAATCTACCCAATGTTCAATCTATTCGAAATTATCAAGTCAAACCTTGGTAATGACACCTACAAACAGCTTTGATGATAATGACACTCATTTTACCATATACTTATTTGGTTACAGTTAATGCTTCGCAGTGGAGTTATGGTTCAATGGTTATGACGTTCTACTTTTCACCACCGAATCTCAGGTTTGAAACCCGTCCCACCTAATTCGGGCCGGGAAACTGGGCAACATCATTATCCCCCATACTTAGAGTGTGCCTCATACTCATATACCTGGTGAGTGTGTTTGACTTTTGACTTTTTAATAATTTAAGGCACAAAATATTCAAATAAGGCAATAAACATTTATCTCATATACATCTATATTGTGAATATTCAATAAAATAGGTATAAATACGTTTTTTAAGTGTTTAGCGGTAGAATATTTTCATCCAACCAGTTCCGCCACGACAATATTTTTTTCTAGTACAAAAGATAAATTTGATTCGCGAACTCTAGAGCAAACGCCTACCGCGTCTCTCTACGATAGAGACAACAAAGAAAATATACCAAACCATCGTGATTTTCCTGCTTGAATTTTTTAGCATGAAGCAGTACGAAAGATTATCAGCTTTTCAGAAAAAGCCCATGAGTCCATTATACGATTCACTTATGTAATTAATTCGTTAAAACGAATCGGATATAAGAAACTTTATTGAAGTATTTCCAATAGGCATCCCCCCCAGTATTTCAACCACGCTACCATCAGCTATCTTTTGAAAAGATTATAATTCATCATAAAAATTAAATTAATGAGTTAACCGAGTGACATTAAGTATGTGTACCAAACATAACACACACACACAATACACTGTGTAATTTTGAATGTGTCATACTCACATTTATAACGAATAAATATTGTTTTACCCTACAGTTCACACAAAAAAGAAGAAGTCAAATACGATGGGCAACAAGAAATAATCATAATTCGCAGAATCGATTGTCGATCGGCCACAAAAAAAAACAAACAATTAAAACCGCATTTATTTCGTCGCCAACACTCGAGTATCATACTAACTCTTACACCGATGTTAAGATCCAGTGATAATAAGTGATCAATTTTCACAGAATTTATCCTATTAAATTTACCTCGATTTTCCTAGTAAAGTATTTCCAACCTTCAACTATCTATAAATTGATTACAATTTCAATGCATCATGAAAATTAACATGAATACAATGGTATTTATTGACACACAATAGATATTTGTTGTCATCTACTGTATGAGTGCGTAAATAATTAGTGAATTAAAGTAAACAGTTGGGGTTTGCGTAAATTGTTTGATTAAAATAACTTATATAGGACTTAAATATCAAGTACGAATAAAACTGATTCAGTTTTGAAAGATTTGAAGGACAGTAGTATCCTAACAAATCAGTTTCAAGAATAAAACAAAAACTGCAGTGATAATCGAAATCTCAGGATTTATTAGTTTATATTTATTTCTACGCCTCAGATCGTTTTTTTATAAAACGAATAATCATTTCTACATATTTTGTGCAAACCAAGTTGAACGTGAGATGGCAATTTATAAATGACATTGGATGATAGCAAACAGATTAAAGCTGGGTAATTTTCAATACTGAAATCCAACCTCATAAGCAGATGCAGTGTGGCCATCAGAAAACTTGATGACACTCACGACTTAACTACAGGGGATCGAACCCAGGACCTTGAGGTCTTGAGAGATCTCAAACTAATACGTGACAGTTGTTCAATGGATCTTTACCTGAGGTCGATTTGTGACGAAAACTATTTGCATACTTCTTTGCCTGATAAATACATAAACAATTACGTTGTTGGTTTGATATTTTATGTATTTTCAGTCTTGATATACAAAAGTAATAAGATGATTTATTGTCATCGCTGTTATTTTTGTAATCTCCGCTACATTAGACTTATGGTTATATAAAGAAGGAGAAATTAACAATTTTCTACCCGAAAATAAAAGTTTACTTCAAACAATTAATTAATTCAATGTTTTTTACACACGTAAACCAGACCAGAATAAGGCTAGTACTTTACAAATCCGTTTACAAAGGAACAGACAACTGTTTGTTCTCACATAAGTTTCTTACAGGAATAAGAAACGACAATGCGAAATGTTGTTATAGAAAACATTCTAGTAGTTTTCCATACTACTACCGACACCACTTAACTGTACAATTATTCAATAATACAAATTTCTTTAGAAAAAATAGATAAATAAACATGTCTTTCAACATCATTGTTCTTTCAGATAGTATAACTTCATAGATATTTGCCGACAATTACGAAGCTTTTTATAATATATAATTAGATTAGTGTTTCAGTTTCACACGAATTTTTTTCCTAGTCGTGAATTTTATTTTACAACAGTCGTGTATACTACTAATAAGGAATGAAATATTTTGATTTTAACCTTTTATATACATAACGCAGATGATCGGTTTCCATAAAATCAAAGCATATTACCATATTATGAAAACTTAGGAAATGGATTAACAAAACAGTTTTGTTGATAATTTTTCCCCTGAACACAGTTAAATGATACTTAAACCATACTACAAAAATAAAGATTGCGATTATGGGAATGTTATGTTACGTGAAACTAGGGTTTCTTTTAGTTATTTTTGAGAATCAGAACAAATATTCACAGTTTTTTAAAGTACCAACACTATTAATAGTAGACAATTGATGAAGACGATTGACACAAGGAGAAAAGTTATTGATAATAAACACAAGGAAAAGGTGTAAGATTTCGGGGTTCATGAGCTGAGAAAAGATAAAAAGTAAATGCACTTGTGACATTGCAAACGATTCTGAGCCACATTACCCAGACTCAAACCATTGGTTACGGTAGTCGGGCAAACTCAAAACAATCTGCATCTACCTACATGCTTTAGTCCAACAGTCAATGAATTCATGAATTCATCCCACGATTTGATTTGGCATCCCCTAGTTTCCTTCTAATCTAGTCCTGCATCAAACAACATTGTCCATCAAAGTACGTGATGGTTGGGAATACTTAATGCACGTCTCAAGTACCGCAGTTGATAAATTTAATACCTTACCAATCGATTCACCATCTCTACCTAGTAATGTGCCCCTGACATATACATTACTCACTTAGTGGTCCCAGTATGTAAGGGTAATGGTTCGACGACACTCCAATCGAATGCTAATAACCTACGAATATCCTCCCCTTAATGGTCATATTTCATACCTATAAAGTAGAAAGAAACGAACTGATGTTTAGCAAACTCGTCCTCTGTTTTGCAGATAATCGGTTCAACTGTAAAACAGTGTCAAAAACGTTGGAATTGACCCGATGTGGACTAGATTCTGTCACAATATGTTTTTCTATGGATATCAAGTCATAAGCTGAATTAATGAACACCAAATATTATATTCATGTGGGGATACTTGTCAGTGGGGCATAAAAACACTTTGTAAATAAGGCGAGCATCACAAACACTAGCTTCAATTAGGACGATGATATAAAAAAAACTCATACGTTCTTACGTTGAATAATGAAAATGGATAAATTGTTTAAAGGGCATAACAGTTAAAAAGAATATAATTTACCAGTATAGTTCGGTGAATAACCTTCCCCATATGTGTTTGAACGGCTTACATCATGTTGAACTGATCTATAATCTGGACATAATGATAAATTTGTAAGGCACTGGTCAGGAGATATATGTAAATTGTTACTATCTAAATTTATTCTTGGATATATATGTCGGCCAGCTACGTTTGTTGCCCTGTTATAAATACAATTCGTATATCTACTGTGATGTCCCACGTTCGTAGAATCGGCACTCTCAAGGATGCTTGCATCCTCAAAATTATTCTCGTTTATATCCGTACCGCAATGACCACACGAGTTAGACTGGTAGTTTTGCGAAAATCTACGTGTAGACATTTTGGATGTTGATTTCTTATTACGGCGTTTATGCATGAAGTAACTGTCCTTCATTTCTTCTGAATGCTCATTATTTTCACTTGAATCGGAATCTTCTTCGGGAATAAATAAATTCTCACGTTGTAATGGTGCAGAACCTGGCCTGCTAATTTGTGGTTTCCTAATTGATGATTCTAAGTAGGCAGTATAGGATATAGTTCTAGGCCGACAGTTCGCATGTTGTGATTGCCGTGAAATAGAAGCACTGGAGTTTATATCAGTGCTTCTATTTGGATGCACGGCAGTAAGTCGATTAGAATGTGTATTTATCAAAGATAAAGTTGAAGAATTGAACAAATCCCCATGAATTTTGCTTTCTTCGCGAATAGGAATTGGGCGAAATAAATGAGAATGATTTTTCTCATGTGTACAAACAGAATATGATGGCTTTGATGAGTAGAAGTTACCGGAATTTTCTGTTTTATGAATTTTATCATTAATGTCATTGGGGGACTGTAAACCGTTTGAATCATTGCATGCATTTTGACCTTCGGAATTCAATCCAAGAGAGAAAAATGATGATAAATCAGAGAGAGGAATAGTTTCTGGATAAGAATCTATCATATCTACAACATTTTGTGATACTGGTCTACATGGTTCGCATGTATGAGGATAGTTATTTGAACAAGTCCATGGAGTAGACCAAGTTGGCGAAGTTCTTATCATATCACTTATACTTGTAACGAACATTCTATCTGAAAGTTCTTCATTAAGTTCACTAGCACAAGGTAAATTATTTAGACATGGACTTGAGCTAGTAACAGAGTTTCTAGAGCTTACGTCTGATTCGTTTAAATGTGTCAGCCTCCAAGGCGAATTAGCTTGATCAGATTGATTCAGCATAAAAACACTTTCACGATCGGATGATATCAGTGATGAAAAAATTGAGTGAGGTAAGGCACAGTAAGATGAAATCAGATTTGATGGAGATCTAGTTTTAGAATCACCTCCTCCAGTCCAACTAGAAAATCCACTATCTGTGTTAACACAAACTTGATGAACAGAAGATTCACAGTTTTTCCAGAAGCAAGATGGAGTAGTTACCGTTGTACGACCAATGGGAGGAGAATATCTATTGGAGCTTGATGTTGTAGGTTCACCAAATAAATCTTGACTTGGTGATATTGGTAACTCGAATGTATGTAATAAATCCGATTCGGTAGTATGATCTTCAAAACTGCTGCAAAATGGTCCCAGCTGTCCAGTGCAATCTTGTGAAATATTACAAGCTTTAGATGGATCCAATTTATCATCACCCATTAGGGCAGGAGTGTCTTATAGCAATATGCGCGAAACAGCCGAATCGAAAACACGTGTAGTGACGATTTGCTTCTTCGAATAGCATGTCAACTTTAGTTAGCGAATCAAAAGTTAGCGTTCGATTAGACTACTCTGAATCGACCAATCAAAATTCTATATATTTTTAGTAATACAATTGGCCAATTGATAGCTAGACAGAATAGACTTTTTCGATGGCATCTTATTTTATTACACCAATGAAATTGTAGTAGACTGGATAAATCCAGGGTTGTACGTTCTAATCAGGAGTCACGTGACACTACTGTGGCTGTAGCTCTTCGCCAGACAGCATAACTAAGACTTGTAACAAAAAACGATAGTAATTGTGATCACTAAGTGAATAGCAATTCAATGACATTGTACGCCAAGTGGTGGTGCACCAATGTATATTTAGCTAATTTATTCTGTGAAGATATTTTCAGTGAAATTACGTTTAAGTCACAATAATCACTACACTTGATCCGAAATATCGGCATATTAGATAAATTAGTATTATCTGCATAATAATTTATTAGACATGGATGAATTCTCTCCATAGTTCAAATTATACTCACTTCCTTAGTTACAGAAATATTCTTTTGTAATCTAGAAACTTCATTTCCTTCGATGTAATTAATTGCTGCTGTCAGCTAAAAGAATATGGACATATTTTTTTAAAAATGTTACTTCAATGATAGAAGAGTTTAAGGTAATTTTCATGTTTTTTTAAAACTAGTAACCATTTACCAGATACTGATTTATCTACCTGACTTCTAACCACATTCTGCTTGAAGGCTTGTAATAGGCGGCCACAGCAAACAAAATAAATAGAACGAGGTTCGAACGTGTAACCTGTTGACTGTTAGTCGGGTGCTTTAACCGCCGAGTTACCACCTAATCTGCAGTATTCATGAAAAGCAAAGGAATTTCCAAAAAAGTTCTATATGTTTACTTGATGTGATGACAATAAATATGTTCTCAACCAAACAACGGACTTATAAAAATCTGCGAAGTGATTACTGAAGCATAATTTAACAAACCATACTGACTAAATTAAACAAATTAGAAGGTATTCTGAACGATGGTTATAAATATTTGCAACCCACCATGAAAATAACTTTTGTGAATTTAGAAAATTACCATAATGAGGACGAAGTTAGTTTTAAGCGTTAATCGATGTACGTGATATTTATAGCTGTTTCATTAATAATCTGCCTATGTAAATGATACTGTTGTCCAAAGTAGAAAAACATTTTAAATAGAGTGAAAATGTGTTTCTAATTGATGAATTTTATTTACTAAAAATCTAAATTGAAACAGTATAAAAATATATCACGTAAATGTGAGATTTCGCATACAGCAGGAAATAGTAATATATCTTTCGAATAAAAATTGAGAGCATCATATATTGTGTTTCAAATTAGTGATCTGATGCTATCGAGTTAGCTATAAATTGGGATAATCCTAAGTCGGATCCTGAGTAAGTTTATATGTACTCATTAATGTTATTTGTTAAAGTACAAGAAATAGCTACTCAGTTCTTTCTGATTTTTAAAAACTAATCAACTGACTTCAATTATCTGACAACATTAACTTTTATAGGATTAAAAATGTTCATGAAACCAATTAGGTATTGCAAGGATGAAATAAATAGATGTTTCGTCCTGATATGGCAATCCTAAGTATTGTACATTCATGACTCTGTTAGGGATCAAGTAGTAAATCTCCAGGCCTGGTCATGCGAGCATTTCAATTGTAACCACTGGGTTAGTATCCAAAGATGTGCATTTCTAGCTTTAAATAATTCGCGATATGCTGCGGTAACCAGTCAGTGTCATTGGTTTTTAATAATACAGTACAATAATACTGAAACAGTTATTGGTTGTTTATAACGCCATTTTTTGAATTTATTCAAATTCTAAATCTTTACTACTAAACACCATACCGGTGATTGTAATGTTTAATTACTCCCCATGAGAACTAGATGTCCTCAACCAGAAGATACCTTGCGATGTTATGGTCACAATTTTTGCAAAGATTCTAACCTTTGTAAGATTTAACAATTATACAAACTCAAAATAGATTTAGATTGAAAAAAGAATTTCTGTAACATATTCCCAGTTCAAGTTCGTATTATGAACTAACTGCAAATAAAAATTGAAAGTTGACCACTAGCTAAAAAAGAATTGAAGTCCAATAATTATATGAGTGGGTTTGACCCCTGTTTCAAACAGTCTACATACAAAAATATGCCTTAAAATTTAGAATAGAAATCTACCAACTCTTTCTAAATAAATTGCTTATTATCAGGAAGAAAAATTTATGGAGTTTGTTAGGTTTAGATATAAAATTTATTTAATGGACTGACATTCACTAAATCATTAGTGAATGACTTCAAGAAGATTGACCAAAGTTCTATTCAGAACCCATAGTCAGTAGGAGTTAACAAAATGAATGAGATAATTATTAATGATTAAAATTATAAATCTGGATCACTGGATCGCAACTTGATTGTCTAAAGACAATATGCTCGTCAAAATACCTAGTACCTCTTCGATTCTGATCATCGGATGAGAGTGTTAAAATGTGCAGCGCTTATGAACCGTATATTGGGATAAAACAACTTTCCAGTGGTTTTCAATAGTTCACTGATTGTCTAGCTTAAGTAAACTTGTAACGTAAAACCTCGTTTTATGGATTATTTTATCCACATTGAAATCTCAATCGACTCAAGATTTTTATATCACTAAGATTTCCTTTTTTGCTTATGAGCTCAATCATTAGACTCGACAACTGTTTATCAGTTTAATATTCACAAATACTATTACTATTTTTAATCAATCGATTAATAAAAAAAACCTCAGCTCACAAGTAGTTTATCTGAAAATGCTCCCACAGTTCTAGCAAGAAGTAGTGACTACTGAAGTCTGAATAATTAGGGAGTGAAGCAGTTGTGACCTTCAACATTTTATGATCATCTTGCCATATCTTAATTAATGTTGTATTTGTACCACTGAACACAGACCTAGTGTTTCCAATGGTTAAATACTTTGCAGTGAAACTTGGAGATTCTAAATTCGACCCCCGGTAGGGTCATGGGTCATTGCTACTGAGGGGTCCTTTACTAGAAAAAACAGTCACATATAACTCCTTGACCTTTAATGATACCCCAAATGTGATCAATCTGTAATGAATACAACATACAAAGTTATACAGATAAACACCACTCAATGTTACAGATATTTACTGTATATAATTGTACTTAACATAAACAACAAACTATAATATATTCACTTATTATAAATTAGTTACTGTGCTCTGTCAAAATGTAATTTCATTTATTTAATTATAATTTTTGTTTGTCTATTTCGAATATGAAAGTTGACGAAGAGAAGAATTATAAAAGAAGTCAAGTGGTACCAGTACAGAAGATATGTGAATAATAAGCATGTACATAAGTATATATATATATATATATATATATATATATATATATATATATATATATATATATATATATATATATATAAACGCGTGCATTCGTGCCCCTATACGAACTGTTAATTTTCATCAACACCGTTAAGACAGCATAAATACAATTTCAATGAAATATGATATTTTTCTCCACAATATACACATAATTCAGTAAATAATTTGACAGCATTGTGGTAGGTTTCTTTACTTCCTATATCAGTAATGATGATTATTGTATGATCATCATTCTTCCTTTCTCTCTCGTTCTTTGTTTATCTGTGAAGTAGAAATTCATCTGTTTTATCACAGTTGGCGTACTGGGTTTTTTTCACACATACACATGTACTAATAAACAATTAAACATATATTCATGATATACTACTGATTTAGAAATCAAGATAAAACAAGATGATTTATTCAATTGTCAATATATATATATATATATATATATATATATATATATATATATATACCATAAAATTAAAAACACATGTCAATTGTGAAAATGAAGTGACTAGTCTCCATTCGAAACAGACGTTGATCAGATTGCCTTCCTTAAAAAGGCGAAGTTATTTATGGTGGGAATTTGGAAAAATTAAAAAGAAAACTAGTAATCCACTTACCTAGTAACTGTATGTATATTTATATGTTAAGTGAACAAACAACAACACAGAACCCAGCATGATTAAGTCTACCTGTTCAAACTACCAGACTTCACACCTCAGTAGAGCAAGAGAGAGAAAAAGAGAATAGATTAACCATATGAGAGCAATGGAAAAGGGTTAATGGTTATTATTATTATTATTATTATTATTATTATTACTGTGCACATAAATGACTAGCTTATATAGGAAATTTCCTGAGTTCTAGTGAGAGGTCACGACTAGTGGTGTTCAACCGCGTCGGGTATGAGGAAGGTTAAAGTTCCCGCGTAAAGTCGAAAGATCTGAATTCGGTTCCTGATGGTAGAGTCCCATAGTGGAATAAACGGTCGTCCAGTGCCTCCAGGTTTTCAATGATTGCAAAATTTGGATTGGTTTGTGATGTCAGTGAACTTATTATGTTGATGAGTCATAAACAGAAAGAGTAAGAGAAGGAAAAGTAGGAAACAGAGCCAAGTAGTTATTTGAAAGAAAATGAAGAAATTGGTGTTGGGTAGTGGGTGAACAGTTGGGAAATGAGAAACTGTTCGAACTGCTCTACAGTTGATATATATATATATATATATATATATATATATATATATATATATATAACTTTTGTTAAGTATTTCGTTTGCGACATTTTTACCTTTGAACCTATTATAAACTTATATTCCATTAATGAATTGTCATCTTTCTTAAATTATTATTATTAATTAATTGTGAACCGATTGATGAGTTCTGTGACATCCATGATTTGGTCATGAACAAATTGTGATTTCTTATTTATGATGAGCTATGATCAAGTAATTGATGAGATTTTTAAAGTTAGTATGACAATACAATGATAGAAGAAATATCAGCCTTCTATCTTCGTCTTTTGA